GCATGCACACATAATTCAGAAGACAGTTTAGGAGAGTCCTGTCTCTTTGCTCTACTCTGTGGGGTCCAGGATTGAACTGAGGTCATCCAGCTTGAGAAGGCAGGAACTACTGCTACCTGTGAAGCCGTCTCTCCAGCCCTGACTGAGATTTTTGTTGTTGTTGTTGTTGTTGTTTTTTTAAATCTGTGTGCATGAGTGCGTGTGTTTGTGTGTATATGCTCGAGTGTGTATATGTGTGTGCCTGCAGAAACCAGAAGAGGGTATTGGATTTCCCCAGGAGCTGGAGTCACAGGCAGTTGTAAGCCACCAGATGTGTGCTGAGAACCGAACTCCAGGCCCCTGGGAGAATAGCAAGTGCCCTTACCCACTTTACTGGGGATTTTTAATTTCACGTTTCTCCTTGGAGGAAACTGTAATCGATGGTGTCACTGAAGGTTGCACTCGGTTTTCCCTCAGCTGTTTTCACCTATAAACTACGGATCGGTCGCACTGGTTGTAGGGGAGCAGATCACAGGCTTTCTGTAGCGGAGGGAGAAGATGGGACGCTCTTACCAGACACTTGATGTGATCTTGCCAACAAGACTTGAAGGAAGAGTGGAGATGACGTTTCAGATTCTGCAAAGACGGAAGGGACAGAACACAAGCCCCACGCCTTTGTCACGGCACTTTCTCTGCTGTTCCCAAACGACAAAGGATTAAGATTTAAGGGGACCAGAGTGGTAATTTCTAAAATATATCTTTCTAAGTCAGAAGAGACACTTTTTTTCAGAGAGTTGTGGGGCTGGGTGGTGGCGCACACCTTTAACCCCAGCACTCAGGAGGCGGAGGCAGAGGCACGCGGATCTCTGTGAGTTTGAGGTCAGCCTAGTCTACAGAGTGAGATCCAGGACAGCCAGGGCTACACAGAGAAACCTTGTTTTGAAAAAAGGTGAAGAAAGAGAAGAAGGAGGAGGACGAGGAAGAAGAGGAGGAAGAGAAAGTAGTGGTGTCACATGGATTATACGGTCCAGTCACTGTCCACAAATGTCCCCACCACTCCTTTGACATTATGATTTGCTGTTTAAGATGCTGACCTCACTTCTTCCCAAGTCATCAGAATAAGAAAAAACCATCTTTTGGCACAAGTATGGATGACTATTAACCCATCGGTTATCAGGTAAGACTTTCTGGGAACCACTGCCCAATCGCCTCACCAAGATGGCCAGTTAGGGGCACCAGTACTTCCTCACCTGTCCTTCAGAGGGGAGTGAGGGGGGATGGGAAGCACACACCTCTCGGCAGGGGAAGTAATGAAGAGGGCGAGTTTTGGTGTGCCTGTGAACGAACAATCATGCACAGTTATAGAAAGCTAGGCTTTCACAAGGCCTTCTGTCTGTCATCACCTGCGCTGGGAGACGGAACACTCACCTGAGCCATCCCTCTTCCTCAAGACGTTTCCCCATCCCAACTCTGAGAAGCATAAATAAAGACCACTGGGAAGAGCTTTGCTGTCTGACCTTTAACCTGAAATGAAAATAAAGCTTGGAGAATGTCGTCCTGACTCAAGGATGACAACTCCTTCTCTTACCTGATGACAAGCGCCTGCCAGACCTCGCAGTTACCTTTGATTTAGCTGGAATGGCATCCCCACACATAGCAGAGGTCTGTCCTGTAATCCTTCTGAAGCTTAGGTCAATTTGATGGTAACCCGAGAGCCGTTTCCTGCTTCGAAATGATGTCACTGTCTGTTAACACATACTAGAGTGGCCACCGAATTCTCTCTTAGGGCAGCAGAGCAGTGGAGTTGGAGCTGGCTAAAAATAAACATTATGTGAGCTTTCAAAATGCAAAAGGAGGTTTGAATCTAATACACCAATAAACCGCTAAAAGATATCTCAACAGATGTTTTCAAAGAGCCCAGAGGATTTTATGACTCAGAAATCTGCACCTCAGAGGTCTGAGAATTTAGTTTTTGTTCAAATGGGTGCAGTTTTAGAACTGGAGTGGAGAATCAGGGACATCAAACCATCCACACCTGTAACTGAAGTTTATTTTACATTTTGCCTTTGTTTTGCTGTCTTCCATTGAAAAGAATGTCCTCTCAGCCGGGCAGTGGTGGCACACACCTTTAATCCCAGCACTCAGGAAGCAGAGGCAGGTGGATCTTTGTGAGTTCGAGGCCAGCCTGGGCTATAGAATGAGTTCCAGGAAAGGTGCAAAGCTACAGAGAAACCCTGTCTTGAACCCCCACCCCCACCCCCACCCCCACCCCCGAAAAAAAGAAAGAAAAAGATGTCCTTTCTTTTCTAATGGAATTTTTGTTGATGTCTGCTGGAGGGGGCAGGGTATGTGTGTGCCTGCATTGGAGTCCCTCCATATAGCCTGGGGTAGCCTCAGGTTTGGAATTATCCTTCTGCTTCTGTCTCCCGAGTGCTGGGATTACAGGTGGATGCAACAATACAGCACTTCTAATTGATTTGAAATCGTGTTTTTTTTTTTTTTTTTTAAATTTATTTTTTATTTTTCCCCAATTCAGTGACTTTTCCCCTGAAACTGGCTTGTATCCATACAAGGTACCTCAGGGCTAATATCCAGTTCAGCCAGGTGCTGTAGGGTGCACCTCCAAGCCCATCCCTTAAGAGAAAGCGATGGAAGGATCAGGAATTCAAGGGTATGCTCAATGACACAGTGAGTTCAAAGGCACCTTTGAGATCTAAAGCCTCAGCTGGGGGTGGGGCATTCCATGTGTTTTTCCTAGTTGTACCTCTGGAATAAACTTAATAAATTGAATAGTAATTTGTGTGGGTAATGGAGATTCTTTTCTGTTGTATTTTGCTCAAGGTATTTCCTCCCAAATAGGTTGAGAACCATGGTATTGAGAAGAGGGACCTCAAAACCAGGGCGACTGAGCACAAGCGGGGGGATATGGGATGACTGCAACCTGCTCCCAGGGCCTGGAGAAAATTCAAAAAGAAAAAGAAAAGAAAAAACAGGGTTGGACTCCATCAGTCTTTTGGGTTAGTCATCCTGGCCTTCATCCTCCTCTCCTTCCTCCCCTTCATCTTCATCCCCATCCTCATCAGGATCTTCCAAGCCTTCCTCTTCTTCACCATCACCATCATCATCTTCTGCCTCTCCTTCTTCATCATCCATCTCAGAAACCCAATAGCATTGCAAGGGGTTTGGCCAAACGCCGTCTCTGACGACCTCTCCTAACTCAGCTGCCCCTGCACCAGAGCGGTCCGTCAACTGGTAAAGCAGCTCTCCCGCTCTTCTCTTCGGCTGCCTCTTCCTGCTGGCCTTATTCTGCATTTGACTTGAGCGTTTTGCCAAATCCTTTCCAGACTTCCATTTGATTTCAGTGGGCTTTGAAGATGGGTCACCACTCTCATTCAGAGGGAATTCTTTGGAGAGAACTTTATTTCCAAAGTAAGGATTTTCATCGAAATAAGAATCTATTCTGTAACCGGATTTAATGTCTTCAAATTCTGTCACTTCAGCTCTGGTCAAGTGAAGTAGGCCTCTTCGTCTTCCTCCCCAAGCAGTGCAGACACGTGTGGACAGTTGACAAATGTTGTTATCCACAGTTTTGGGATTTTGGCCATCTATTCTGACCTCTTCTGAAAAAATGGTTTTTTTGGCGGAGTTTGCTATATTTCTGTTCGATTTTCAAAAATGTCCTCACTGGCTTGTTTATCAAGTCTGTCTGTTTCATGTTCTACTCATTCAATTGCTCCTTCTGCTCTCTTCCTTCCTTCTGCAGGCTGGCAGAGGCCAACTTGTCCTCCAGTTCGGGGCAGGAGCCAATTGGGGTTTCTTGGGCTGAGGCAGGAGCGCACAGATTGCCATTTCGGGGCCATGGCATGAGGGAAGAGGCCAGGAACCAGAGGCCAGAGGCCTGATGTGCATGTGCGTGTGCGTGTACGTGTGTGTGTGTGTGTGTGTGCGCGCGCGCGCGCGCGTGCGCGCACGCTTGTACAGTGTTAACCAGGAGCTTCAAAACCAGCAGCAGACAGGCATCTTTAACACCAGCACTCAGGAGGCTGAGGCAGGAGGGTTTTGAGTTCATACTGAGCTTCCCTAACCCATAGGAGCTGGCCTGCTCCTTGTGGAGATGACCAAAAGAACATTGGATTTGGGGTGACTTCACCACAGACCGGTTAAGTTCTTCAAAGAGCAGGAGGTCTCAAGTGTGGAAAGGAAAAGACCTGGAATCCACACAGCCTGGAGGAGAGCACAGGGCATCAGAAATGCTGTCTAAACTGTAATGGGCTGTGAAGGGTGGGCACATCTGGAGCTTAAAACACATAACCAGGAGACCTGGGCGCTGCTAATGCTCCTGTCATATGTGTTCAGGGTTCCTGTGGCTTCACCTGGGACTGGGCTGTGTCTGGACACTAGGTATCTCAATTTTTTGACTGCTCAGTCATTTCCGTTACATCCAGCTGTTGTATATTGAGCCCAGTGGAGTGTGGTCTAGCATCTCTCAAAGGGCTCCATCAACACCACCAACCAGACTGTCCTCTTCTGCAATACAATTCAACCAATAACTCAGGCCACGGCTTCACACTGTGTCCCTTTCTGCTCTATTTCTTATGACCAGATGTCGTTTCCCTGAAACTGACTAGATCAAACCTTAATGTGTTTGTTTTCCACAGCTGCTTCCTGCTTGTCTTTTTTTTTTTTAAAGACAGGTTCTCGTTCTGTAGACCTGGCTGTCCTGGAACTGGCCTGACTCTGGCTACAGAGTTCTGGGATTTAAGGCGTGCACCATGATGCCCAGCCCTGCTTGTCTCTAAACTCAGCCAAAGCACGCCTTTCTCACCTCCAGGGCGATCAGTTCCAGGAAACTTCAGAAGCAGATGCGCATGTGACTGCATTTTCCTCCTTCACGCCCTTCCCAGTCTCTCTCTTCCCTTCCTTGTAGATGGCATGTGTATGTTCAATTTTGAAATGTTCATTGCTAATATATATAAAAACATAATTGCGGTGGGTGTGGTGAAACACACCATATTCCTAGCACTTGGGAAATAGAAGAAGGATTAGAAAGAAGTACAAGATTATTGCCAGTAGTCTAAGGTGGGGTCATCCTCGTGGATTCCTGGAAACTTCCCCAGCACTCTGTTTCTCCCTATTCCCATGATATCCTCATTTATCATGGTATCTCTTTCCTTGCTCTCCCACTCTGTCCCTGTTCTGGCTTGAGCCTCCCGTTCCCCTGTGTTCTCATCCCCATCCCCCATCCTTTGCCCTCCATTAACCCCCCTTACCCCCAGTTTGCTCATGTAGATCTCATCTATTTCTCCTTCGCTGGGCCACCCACGCGTCCTTCCTAGGGTCCTCCCTGCTAGCTAACCTGCCTGGAGCTGTTGGTTGCAGTCTGGTTATCCTTTGCTTTACATCTAGTATCCACTTATGAGTGAGTACATACCATGTTTGTCTTTCTGAGTCTAGGTTACCTCACTCAGGATGATATTTTCTAGTTCCATCCACTTGCCTGCAAATTTCATGATGTGATTGTTTTTCTCTGCTGAGTAGTACTCCATTGTGTATATGTACCACATTTCCTTAATCTACTCTTCAGTTGAGGGGCATCTAGGTTGTTTCCCGTTTCTGGCTATTATGAATAATGCTGCTATGAACATAGTGGAGAGGATGCCTGAACCAGCCTACTCTGGTGATCAGATGTCTGAATACCCTAACTGTCATCATAGAGCCCTCATTCAGTGAAGGATAGAAGCAGATGCAGAGATTCACAGCCGGGCACCAGGCTGAGCTCCAGGAGTCCAATTGATGAGAGAGAGGAGGGATTCTATGAGCAAGGGACATCGAGATCATGATGGACAAATGTACAGAGACGACTAGCCAAACTAGTGGAAATGCATGAACTGTGGACCAATAGCTGAGGAGCCCCCATGGTACTGGACTAGGCCCTCTGGGTAAGCGAGACAGTTGTTTAGCTTGAACTGTTTAGGGAACCCCCAGGCAATGGGATCAGACCGTCCCTGGTGCATGAGCCGGCTTTTTAGAGCCCAGTTCCTATGGTGGGACACTTTGTGCAGCCTTGGTGCAGGGAGGAGGGGCTTGGACCTGCCTCATCTGAATGTACCAGGCTCTGCTGACTCCCCCATGGGAGACCTTGCCTTGGAGGAGGTGGGAATGGGGGTTGGGTTGGGAGGAAAGGCTGGGGGGTGGGAAGAGGGAGGAGAGGGGGATCTGTGGTTGGTATGTAAAATGAATAGAAAATCTCTTAATAATAATAACAATAACAACAACAACAACAATAATAATAATAAAAAGAAGTACAAGATTAAACTCAGCTACATAGCAAGTTTGTGGCCAATTTGGGCTACATGAGGCTAAATCTCAAAAAACAAAACGAAGATTGATTAATATGTTGACTTTTTAACCCTATGACTTTGCTAAATTTTCTTGGTTATTGGTACACAACTGTGAGTTCTTTGGAATTTTCCCCACAGGCAATAATGTTATCTACAAAGAACAATTTTTATTTCTCTTTCTCAATATGTATGCATTTCATCTCTCTATTATTTTTATCTGTTCACTTATTTATTTAGGGGATTTATTTGGAGATGAGGATAGTATCTTATACAGTAGTACAGACTGGCATACAGCTCACTATGTAGCTGGCACTGAACTCACAACAATCCTCCTGCCTCAGCCCCTTGAATGCTGAGATTACAGGTATAAGCCATCTATTTGGTCACGCTTGGCTCTTCTTTCTCTTGTCTAATTATACCATATTGGATCTCTAGTCTGATTCTGAATGGGGGTGGAAGTGGATACTATTACT